ATAGCTTCTCAAACTATGCAGACTGATAAAATTAAAAGATATTTCTAATTAATAGCAAAAAAACATTAAAAATGTACTATATATTCTATGAAATTCTTCATTGGGCTAGAAATACCATGCAAATTATCTACCAGAACCAATACATAAAAAATCTTTTAAAAAAATTAAATTTGAATTTCTCTAGAGATGTTTGCATGTACTTCATAAAAAAAAAATGAGGTAAATTCTATTTTTCTGTTAAGACTGTCTCTAGCTCTAGTTGCTTAAAAATTAAGAAGCATTAAATACTTTTTGATACATAAGAGTATTAAAGACCCAAAGCAAAGGGGTAGCAGGGTTTCTCAACAGGGCCCTATTAATATTTTAGACCACATAATTCTTTGTCACTGAGGCTATCGTGTACATTGAAAAGTATGCAGCAGTATCTCTGGCCTCTACTCACTAACTGCCAATTATGACAATCAAAGTATTTAGAAATTTCAGAATGTGCCTCAGCAAAAAAAATCTCTGAGAACTCTACCAGAGAAAGTAAGTCGTTTTGTAAATCATTGTGCTTCACCTGGAGCACTTGGTAATAAACAGAATGTTATAAACAGAATTTTAAAAGTTTTAACATTTTAAATTATAATCTTTTTTTTTTTTTGGTCTTTTTCTTTATTATCGGTACCGGGGATCGAACTCACGACCGCCTGCTGGCAAGGCAGGTGCTTATGCTGCTGAGCTAAATTCCCAGCTCCCATTAAATTGTAATCTTTATGGCAGGATACAAACTATAAACTACCTACAAATTGGATTATCACTAATGTCCCTCTTAATCTTTCAGAGGATTTCACTAACAGAAATATTAATAGCCTCTGAATTTAATCCTGTCTGCACTAGATACAGTACTGAGCACTGTATGTTCACTCTCATTTTAAAGTTATGAGGTCTTCATGGAATGGTTATTAAGATAGTCTAATAAAAATAATTTTTGAAGTCTACTTTAATGAACATATCAAAGTGTTTCCAAAACACTTATTCTTCACTGCATTCAAAGTCGCACCAAGGTTAAGAAGGTTGTATCCCAACTTCTTTAATTTATAATTTATGATAATTGTTTTTCAATATATCTGATAACAAATTTAATTTTAATGACTTTCAGAAATTAGGGAAGTTTTCATAACAACTAAAAAGTCAGAAACAACAAAGAGTCCTGAAATATTTTTTTATCACTATGGCAGAGTACTTTTTAACTTTTTAGCCATGATTTCTTCAGTAATTAAGAGTTTTTTTTTTATTTCTTTGCATCAACTTCCCAAAAAAGAAAATTCATTTTAAAATTATTTGAAGATGTATTTGTAATGTCAGCCTTTCATTAGATATTAAATATTAGATATTAAAGGCTGGTTCAAATTCCAAATTATAGTCAAACTTTGGGAGGATGAGGCAGGAGGATCTGAAGTTCAAAGTCTGCAACTCAGTAAGTTAGGAAGACCTCTCAAAAATAAAAAATAAAAAAAAAACACTGAGGATGTAGATCAGTGTGAAGACTCTAGGTTAAATTCCCCAACACAGACAAAAAAAAAAATCTTAACTTGTCCACTTAACTGAAACCTAAGAATTTCTGTAAAATTGTTCAGTCATCAACTTCAGCAATGTTAACTTGCTTTGTGAAGGTAAAAATTAATAGGCTCTCAATAAAAGTTACTCCCTTTCATCATTAAAGCAAATAAAGTGTTAGTTAAGGGCCAATTCTATTTAAGGGTTGTAGAGAGCCTATCAAAAAGTGCCAAAAAGAGTATGTAATAGAGATAGTTCAACACCAAACTCTGTCTTCTCTTTTACTTTTCATTACAATAAAGGACCAAGAGCCTCTCTTCAAAAGTATTCCTTTCTCTCTTCCTTCGCCCACAAACCTGCCAAGAAATTTGTTTTATTAGTACATGTTTGCAATTCACGGAGCTTACAATCATCTTGGGAATGCTTATGTGTATATATTACAGCTTTTTTTTCCCCCTAACCAACCCTCTTTCCAGTTCCCCTATCACTTTTTATGTACATGTTGATATTACTTGTCTTAGCTTATGTTATAGCATATAATGTTTACACTGATTGGTTATTAGGATCCTGTACATGGCACATCTTTATCAGGCACCAGATTCTGCCAAGGAATTTTGATTCATATTTTCCTCTTAAAGGAGGAAGATAAACTGGAGCCTTTCTTCTTGACACCACTACATTGTGTATATAATTCATACATTTAGTTAACTGTCACCTACCCAAGTTCCTATTATCCATTTTAAGGATTATTCATGATTAAGTCATCCATTAATGAATGCAAGCTATTTAACACTATCCTCAATAAACACTGGAAATCAAATCCTTTAAAAAGAAATCACTTTTGAGAATTAGGTTTTATAATCCACTGTTTCCCTTACTGGCAAATGAAACAGAACTTGTTATAGTAGCATTTTATTACTCAGTAGATAAAATCCCACTTAGTACAGATGACTCTTTTATGCCATTTAAAAGTTTAAATACAAAACATAACTTCACAACTTCACCTGAAACATGGACCCAAATAGGAACCAATGAAAGGATCTATTGATAGTCTACAGTATTAGAAAGTAACTAATGAAGTTTTAGGTAAAGTTGATAACATGAAAGTATGTCAGTATAACACTCAGAATTTAACAATATGCAGTACAGATCCATTCAGTTCTTCCCATTTAGTTTTATTTCCCTGGATATTCAGGAGCTAGTGGAATTTTTTTAAAATAGTCATTTTCACTGTTCTTAAATCTTACTGTCAAATTTTAGTGTTTTACTGTCAATGATTAGACATTTTTTCACAAGCTAAATTTATTTATTTGGTCTGATTTCAAGAAACAAAATGTAAGTCTTTAAAAGTTCTCCAAAACTGTTCTGGCACGCAAATAAAATTTCAAATTCTTCAACAATTAAAGGTTATTTGACAAGCAATAAAATTAATGTACCCAAAACCAGGCTGGAAGTACAGAGACATTCATACAATAAAAACATGAATTGTATCCAAATTTTCAGAAGTTTAAAATTTCTGTAGTTACTAATAGCACGGCTTCTAAGTGTAAAATGTATAATTAGAAAACAAATGCTTTAAAAACAAACACTGAATTTCTAAATCAAGTGAATGTAATTATCAAAATAAAAATACATCTTTAAGAAAATCACTAAGCGGAATGTCAAAGTAATTGATGCACCACCCTTTAATACCAAAATGATATCAGCCTTCAAACCAACACCATGGAAAAAAATGAAATCAAAATTTAAATGTAAACATTAAAATTGTCAACCTCTTTTTCCTTTATTACTATTTCATATTTGTTACCAGAATGAAACTGATAGTTAACTGATCCAAATGCACTACATATTTACTCATTTAACTACTAAGGTGAGCAACTAAGAAGTAGTGAAGCCAGGATTTGAACTTTAATACACAGCATCCAAGGCAATCAATTAAAGGGAGGAAGATGAAAACAGAAGTGGTGATTTTTTTTCAAAGTGGTTTGCAAAACAAGAGTGTTGTGAATGAGATCAAACATTTAAATTATAAATAATGACATTACGGATTACAAAACTTCACCCCTAAACAAGTAGGTTGTTTAGTATGATAATTGATTTCAGTCAAAGTCTAGTCTGTATCCAATCCTAATGGGAAATAATGTACTGTTACTGTTTGGACACTGCAATTTACTGGCTAAGCAAAATGCATTGTAATTTAAAGAATGAGAAAAGTGATGATGTAACCTGAGCGATAGTTTAAAGCAAAAGGACAGTCTCCAGGAGCAGTTAATTAGGAAAGAGTGCGTATGTCAAGAAGGGATTTAAAAAAAAAAAAAAAAAAAGGAAAGTTGACCATCACACTCAACGCCCCACCCCTGAAAGAAAAAGTAACTAAACCACCCTGGGTCAGTGCCAAAGCCTAGTACAAAACTGGCTCAGCGGGATCTGGAGAGCGGATGACAGGGAGACCCCAGCAGAGGGGGAAGGGTGAGATGACAGGAGAGGAGGCGGTGGAGAGGTGGCATGCCTCCCATCTCCAAAAAAAACAAGAACGCGCGGTGCAAGGGACAGAGACGGAAGGAAGAAAATGTTTTTTACTAAGAGGTTCCAAATGACGTGACGAGGAACAGGGTAGGAAACCTAAGAAAGGCGGGACCCTCGGGCAGGAAGGGGTCTGTCTGGGGCAGGGGTGGCATGTCAAGACTAGGGTTCCCGGTTACCCGCCCCTCCTTCTCGCCAGCCTTCCACCGCGACACTCTCTCACTTTCTCAGCAAGCCTACGCCGTCAGGTCAACCGGTCCGGCTCCCGTCCCCCACCCAGGCCGGATAGGTGCAGGCGGGGGGATGGGGCTCACCCTCACCCTCTGCACTGGGCTGGAGAAGCGAGCCGAGGACACAGCCCAGCTCCGTGGGCCAGAAGGCCAACAGACGCAGGGGCCCAGGTCCCGGGTGACAAGTCGGGTGGCCAATGGGTGCCTCACCTGACAGAAGCGCCGGCAGTAATCCCGACTACTGATCCCGACTCCGTCGCCGCCGCCTCCGCCGCTGCTGCCACCGCCAGCGCCACCTCCGCTGTCGCCCGAAGCTCCGATCCCTACAGGGCCGGGTGGGGACTCCACAATGGCCACGAGCTCTTCCCCGAGGCGCTCGGCCTCTTGGTCGCTCTCTTCCTCCGCCATGAGGCTCTTGCAGCCCAGCGCGTACCAGCCCCTGCGCCGCCGCCGCCGTAGCTGCCTCGGCTAACCTCCCCCTCCTCTAGTTCCCTCCCCCTTCCCTCCGCCCAGGCTGGACGGGGGGCGGGCCGCTCGGCTGGGCCCTATTTCCGGCTCCTCCTACCCACGCCCCCAGTTGGCATTGGCTATAGCTAACTGCCAGTCATTTCTATGTCCGCCCTCCCACTGCTGTTGGCTAAACGGGCTGTCTGTTTGATAGACTCGCCATCTGTTGGTCAAAACTGCACGGCGGTTGATCGGGACCGCCCATGGGTTCTGCCATAGGCAGCGCAGGAGGACGGGGCGCGGCGGGGGACACGGCGGCCGCTGAGGCTCCCGATCGGTCAACGGCGGCGACGGCAGCGACCGGTCCTCCTCCTTCTTCAACACCTTCCTCCTTCTCTCCTTCCTCCTCTTTCTCTTTCCGGCCGGGTCTCGTCCACTTCCCCTCTCAGCGGTCACAGTCTTACGGTACTGAGGAGCTCGGGAGGCCGAGGGTGGGCCAGGCCGTTTGTGCGAGCTGTGGGCCCCGGGCCTGAGCGGGAGCCGTGGGCGGGGCTGGGCGCAGTGGTCGGCTAGAGGAAGAAGGAAGAGACGGGAAGCCTGACAGCGGCTGCCTCTAGGCGCCCGACACCTCCTCCCCCGAGACCGCTGCCAACTCCCGGGCCCGCTGCCGGCAGCTGGGACGCCGCCCAGCCCGCTAGCGGGGTCGGCGCGGCGGCGGGGCGCGGCTTGCTGGGCTCGGCGCCGAGGGGTCGGGCCCGGGAGATCCGCCCCGCCGCGCCCGTCCCCGCCCAAACCTGTGGCCTGCGGGAGCTCGGGTGGGAAGTGCGCGGGTGTGCGTCGGAGTCAGTTTTGGGATGTGGAATTACCAATGGAGCGATTTTAGAGACACCTGCGTGGTAGCTGTTGAAGTTCTTACTCATCCACTTTTCGTTTTTCCCCCTCCCCCATCTTTTCATTTGTTTTTCGTATTTTACAGTGGAGGCATGATTTCCCGGCATTGCAGGGAAAATAGGGTGCAAGCCCAGAAGCTATTTCCCCACCACCACTTGTTGAAAATCTGATTTGAAAGCCTTCCGGGTTTGAACAACGGAAAGTGCGGGGATTTGATGCGTCTCTGGCCTTGCTCTGGGGACCCTTCACTACTAATTATCAAGAAAAAAACTGGAAACTAATCTGGTAATCATTAAGACTTAAAAAGTTATTATGTTTTATTTTCTTTTTTTACCTAGTGCATCAATGCTGTTTCTCTTGTTTGCTAGTTACTACTCTTTTTAACTTCCTTGTTTAAAATACCTTCATTTATTGAAAGCACTTTTGTTCTCTGAGTATGTCATCTGGCACATCCTCTGTACTGTGACACTAAGAGACTTTTTGAAAGTTACAGGACATTCAAAAGCATTGGTTTTTCACATTAGCACGTGATTGAACCTTTTATGCCACAAAGAATTATGTTTCAAAGTTTGAAATCTAGATATTTAAAAGAGTAAGTAAAATGTAAGCACTACTGAGCACAATTTCATGATTATCATAGAGCTGGTAATCATAATGGAGACTGATTTGTTTAAGGAGTATAAAATACCGTTACTGAAAGACGTGTAATAATAGTTCACTAAGTGCCAGCCAAAAATATCTGACTTCTAGGCCATTGCAAACCTATAGATTAATATATCTGACAAAATGCAAGCTGTGCACTTTTTTAAAAAACAACAGGATATAAAACCTGGACTTTATGATACTTTTGAAGAATTTCTGTGAAATGTTAGGCCCTCTGATTTGGATCTGCAGATACCCTACATCCACAATTTATAAAATTCTTTTGAGAGAAATTTCATGTTACCCAGCTACTGATTCTTTACTGTTGATTAGTGCAATGGAATACTCCATTGTTTCTAATTGTACTTGTAAAGCATAAGCGTAATTCTTCACAATACTTAGGAATCCTTTAAAATACATGTAAAGAAACGAAATTCCTTTGGAATCCTATCAAATTCATTTTAACATTTTAAAATCTTAGTAATTGTAAGAATTTAATTCAAAAACAGACCCCTAGGAAAAACTTGTTTTACTTGTCGTTTGTCACCATATAAAGTATATTTAATATCTCAGATTTTTGGTGAGTATAGTGTTAATGATTTTTGACATTTACTCTGTTAACTATAAGTTTGTTATAGGGTAAATCAAAAACTTACTAAATTTGTAAATTAAATATTTGGGCAAATAGTAAAGATGCTTTGTAATTTGTTTGCTTCATTTATTTATTTTTTGTGGTCCTGGGGACTGAACTCAGGGCCTTCTATGTACTCAGCAAGTACTCCACCTCTGAGTTGTATACCTACCCCTTCATTTACTTTTCATATCAACAGGTTTTGATTGATCACCTGGTAGTGCACACTATATTACATTCTTGATTTTTTTCCTAGTTTACTGATTAATAAGTGAAACATATTAGTAAATGTAATTATTCATCTGTAATGGGAAAAAGAAACTATTACAGAAAGGGCTCATATTATATCTTGATTATTGTGTTGTGGAAAATTTGGGTATACATACATTCAAAAATAACTTACTTTGAGCTATGTACATTAAACTTTAAATTTTAATGTCATTGTTGCTGTTGATCATATTGTATTTTTGGCTTTTACTTGTCTTTCTCAGAATAATGTTGGAAATTATATTTATGTTCATAGAACTAATGCCAGATTAGTGGCCCATATGTTAACACAAACTACATAGTTGAGCGCCTGATGTCAATTTCCCTAAAACTGAAGCTCTTTCACTTGCCCCCTAAAAAAAGCTCTTTAAAATGTGAATATGTATCTAAATTGGATAAGTTATATAATTAGTACTCAAGTGTTGAATTTCTTTTTTAATCTTTTTTATGTTACACAGACTAAGGTTTCGTTTTAGCAGGCAGGTTCATACATGCATATAACATGCTTTGATCATACCACCACCACTAGTACTGCCTCCATTTTTAATTTTTGACACAGGTTTCACAGGAAATTGTTCAGGCTGGGTTTCATCTTTAGTACCCTCTGCCTCAGCCTCCCATAGTGTTAGGATTACAAGCATGCTCTTCCACACTTAGCAGATAAGTTAAATTTAATGATTATACAATCATCTAATTTAAATGTTTTAGAAGTCTTTAATCTTAACATGTTTATATTGTGCTTTTTGTTCACTGCTTCAAGAATGAATTGTTGTTATAATACTTACTTTTGTTTCTCTTGTGTTGGAAGAACCTTACTCAAAATCAGAATGGAACGATTTGTAGTAACAGCACCGCCTGCTCGAAACCGTTCTAAGACTGCTTTGTATGTGACTCCCCTGGATCGAGTCACTGAGTTTGGAGGTGAGCTTCATGAAGATGGAGGAAAACTCTTCTGTACTTCTTGCAATGTGGTTCTGAATCACGTTCGCAAGTCTGCTATTAGTGACCACCTCAAGTCAAAGACTCATACCAAAAGAAAGGCAGAATTTGAAGAGCAGAATGTGAGAAAGAAGCAGAGGCCCCTAACTGCATCTCTTCAGTGCAACAGTACTGCGCAAACAGAAAAAGTCAGTGTTATCCAGGACTTTGTGAAAATGTGCCTGGAAGCCAACATCCCTCTCGAGAAGGCTGACCACCCAGCAGTACGTGCTTTCCTGACTCGCCATGTGAAGAATGGAGGCTCCATACCTAAGTCAGACCAACTGCGGAGAGCTTATCTGCCTGATGGCTATGAGAATGAGAATCAGCTCCTCAACTCACAGGATTGTTGACAAGGAGGTTACCACCGTTGTGATCAAGATAAATAATGTGGAGTATTAAAGTTATGTGTTGATTGTGTGGTTCATTTTTATATTTATTTCATTTAAAATCATGTAATGCAGAGTAGTTTTGCATTGTGTATATAGTTGCAGCAAAAAAAAATCTTCACTGCAGAACTTGTTAATTTTAGTCACCAGTGGTTTAAGTAAAACTTTAGATATAGAGTGTGCTAGGATACTTGAAACCTGATGGTTATATTTAAAATTGATAGGTTTTCTCCTGGGATGTTCGTGCATGGAAAATAATTCCATGCTTTTTTTTAGCCCTGTTGCCATGTATGATTATTCCTTGTGAGATTACTTAATTATCTGGATTGAAGACCAGTCTAGAAAATTGTAGCTGCTGCCAGGCAACACCACTCAGAATAATTTAAAGGAATTATTCTGATTAGAGGATCCTTTTCAAAATGGAAGAGGTGGTGAGAAACTTATTACATCTGGAGATCCCTAGCGGAAATGACTTTATTTCAAAGTATGTTTTATTTGAAATAGTTACCTAGCCTATCCTTCAATTCTTCACTGTTTTTTCCTCTTCTTTAAAGTTTTTCTGTTTTATTTAATAGCAGCTTCAAGTGACCAACTAAATCTTTTAATGTTAGTGCCAATAGCCACAGGGAATTTTGCGGTGACAAGATTTGAGTTTCTTACTATGTATACAAAGTTTTGAAATATGGCTTTCATTTTAAACATTTTCTTGAATATGCAATTTTTAAGTGTCTTTGTGTTACTTCCAGACTGACACATTAAACAGACATTTTATGGTTGAGTTTTCTCTTTTTATAGAGAGTTAGTTACTGTTTGGCTAACAGATCAAATAGGAAATTTCTATACATTAATTTTTTAATAAGATTTTGTAAGAATAGATAAATAGAAACTTCTTTCACTTTTGTCTGTTTTGTTTCTAGCAAGGCCTATGGTGGAGGTCTGGCAGTGTGTTGCATAGTTATTTGGCTAAAGTTATTTGGCTAAGAAAACAGCAAGTTCTGTTTAGGTCAACCATGTTCAGAAAATTATCTGAACCCAGTGTCCCATAAGGTTATCAAGGTAGTTTGCCCAGCTAGGTCCTCTCCATAAGAAACCTAGGTTATATTTAAGAAATTTAACAGCTAAAACTTGGATAAGATCTTTAATTTAAAAAAAAAAATTACATGAGAGCATTTGAGTAGAAAAATAGTTATATTTCTGTTACAGAGGGTGATAAATGATACCCTATGTGACTCAGAGTTAATTTTTAGGTCATTTTAACACAAATCTTTATTTAAAAACCAAAGTAAAAGAAAGAAAATGCAATTCATACAACTTTCCTTAAGTGTCTTATAGACTTAAGTTCCTATTCAAGTCAGAGGGATCACCTGGTTTTAGATTTTCTTAACATTTAAAAGCCTGCTACCAAAAAAAAAAAAAATCATCAAGATTTGAACTTCCAATTTTTCATATATGGTTATGTTATAGTAGCACAGTAAATGTCCAGAGTAACACTCATTGGTAAAGCACACAGGAGACCAGGAAGACAACCAAACTGTTTTGCTTTTCTCTAGGAAAGAATTTGCAGGCAACCATGTTTAGATTTGATTACCTAAGATGATAGAAGATCAAAGAAGCTAGGAAAATAACTGGGTTTTCAGAATACAAAAATAAAGTTAGGTATACAATCTAGTTTGAAATTCTTGATTCAGACTGCTCCCTATTTTTGGATAGTAATGTGTTCTACCAGTAAACATGTGATGAGAGCTTTTAGTAGACCAGTAAAAACAAACATTTGTATTTCTGGTAGTTACTAATGATTTAATGATCCTTTAGGTCTTACATGTATTTAGATGCGTTTTTCCAGGCTCTTATTTCCATATTTACATTATCTAGTATTATAATCCATTCTGTTAGGATTCTATCATGTCCTTAGGAGAGTTTTCCATCCTGTTGGGTTAATACTATTTCTTTACTGATTATGAAACATTGGTTTCCTGAAACTGGTTAACTTTGTCTCATAAATGAGACAATGATTGTTTTAGCCTGCTCAAACTGGTATAAGTCCCTGAAACCATGATTGGCATATGTTAGATAACCAATGGAAATACCTAAGAGGCATATACTGCTTTGGAGGTAGAGTGGACACATGTATAGAAACTTTAAATCTTAAAATATATAGTGTTAGTGTGATGCTATATCATTGAAAAAATAGCTTTTTTTCTACTTTATAAGTTGTATGCATAAACAAGATTTGTAATGTTTCATTTATAAACTGCTTTCAACACATGCTTACCTGTTAGTAGTGTTTCTCAAAGTATAGTAGTGTGTCTTCCAGAATTTCACTATATGCTTACAGTTAATAGTTCCTAGCTTGTTGAAATGTTGACTTTCCTGTTGGTTTCTTTTTGATTATATGGGTGCATATAGCAAGCCTGAAGGATGTTGTAATCATTTTTTACAGGGTGAAATTGTAGATTTTGTATGAGAACTTACATAGGTTTTTTTTTTTGGTCCATTATCAGGTTATGGGTTTTTTTTTTTTTTTTTTTTTTTTTGAGGGATGTGGACTGGTAATTTTGTTTTTAAACAAATATTACTTTCAGTTAATGTATTTGGCCCTACCAAATTTTCAGGGACCAGAAAAATTTAAAGTTCTACATTTTATTGTTGGCCCAATTAAGTATTAGCTTGTAATTTTTCTGAAGTATTAATTTGTTAAACACTACTGTAAGTGTACTTGGCGAGATCGCCAAGCTGAAAGCTCTATGTTGCCTAAAAGAATTTGTATGTTAGTGTTAATAGAAACACACATAAGCAGATTAATTTAAGGTGGCCCAAAACAAAAGCCACAATTTGTCATTTGATGCTTAGTCTTTGTAAGACCTCTTTACATTTGACTTATCTCACCTGACATTAAATGAAGACATCCATTTTTCATTCATTTACCTGGAAGATTATTTCTATAATTTTTTTGAAAATCTTTGCCTAAGATAATTGCGTTAGCTTCTGGTCAGCACTGATTAAAATGTGAATAGTGAAATGTCTATCATAAATCTTGGTTTATCTCACCCCACACTATCATAGATTTCTGAGGTAAATAAAGCTGTTATCTAGTTGTATCCTACTTGTATCCAAAACTGTATTAATTAAAAATTTACTATGTTAATTTTTGTATTCCTGTGTTTTATTTTTTTGCTCATGCATGTAACATTAGTATAAATGTGTTGCTTTTAAGGTTTTTAATCTCAGAAATAAATTTCAAAAAATTTTTCTGAAGTTTTTAAAGTACATTTTATTTTGTTTGCTAATGACCTACCTCAAAAAATCAGAATTTTACTAATTGATTTAATGTTCTACCATTTATAGCTCTTTTTTTGTAGCATATCCGTATGCCCAAAGTATAAGCATATATTCTGTCAAGCTAGTTTTACATCATAGCTACAGATGCCACTTGTTTCCCCCAAATAATACAGGTAATATTGAGCTTAATTTGTGCTTTGAGTTGGAGACATTTTGCTTGTCCACTTACAGGAAATATAATGGAAAAGAGCTTAGTTTTATTTGGTTTTTAAAAAACCTGTATTCTCACTATTTGGAACCAAAAATGTACAGAAATAAAAAATTGCTTTTAATAATTTACATAATTTGGGGGTGGGGCTAATTGTCAGTACTCACTTCTATTTGGTAAAAAAAATAAATGCATCAGTTATTCCTGGAATCAAGCAGAAAAGACTAAATTAGTCAATACTATTACCAGTTTAGTATTAGCAAACGTGAGATGTCTACTTTTCCTGAAAAATAACCACAATTTTATTATATGTAAATCAATGGACTGTATGTGTCTGGGTCTCTTAAAAATAAAAGCTTTTATTTTCCTATGTGTAAGTTGACTTATGTACTTGCACATGTCACACAAAGATGAAAAGATCAGACTGGCTAACAGCACTGGAGCTAAAAAGCTAAAACTAGAAAGGAGATGATGTGCAATATGTGTGATGTGTGGCGTGATTTGCACCTTATTACTTCTCCAGTATGTTAACTTGAATTTGTTTTGTATGCGTGCTATTTAGAGTAAATGTTTCTTAGCTGAATGTTTGGAATTAGAATGTAAAATGTCAAGTTCTCAGTTAAATAGGTAATCAACTAGTATTTGTGAAATGCCATCCATGTATAACACTACAGTAGCCACTGGGACACAGAGAAAGTTCCCTGCCCTCAACATACACTCTAGTGAAACCTGAACACAAAAATCTTTGAGGTAATATGTACCTTTGTATATTCTAGATGACAACTGTAAAACATTCCTCATGAGAATATTTATGAGCTGTATAGTTCAGCCTTCCAGTTGCTGGGACAAAATATCTGATACTTGCCATTTAAAGAAGAGGTTTATTTGGCTAATGGTTTCAAGGAGTTTCAGTCTATGACAGACTGAATCTAAGGCAGAAGCAATGCTGTGCAAGGTAGTGGAGCAAAGCTGCTCACGTCATGGCAGCCAGGGAATAGAGCACTGGGCGAGTTCCAGGAAGACCCAAGGTTTCCAAAGTCACCCTGCCAGTGACCCACTTAACTGGGCTCCACCTCTTAGCAGCATGTAGAATTTTTAACGTAAGTGGGTTAATCTTACTGATGAGGCTGTGACTCCTATGACCCAGTCACCTCTTAACTGTCAATCCAATCAAGCTGACAAGATTAATGGACACACTAGCCAAATAGCTCTAGATTTCCAGAGTTTATATACTAAAAGCAATAAAAAGTTGAAATTTGCCAACTTTTTTTAAAAGTATGTCTTCTGAAAATGAGTAGTTACATGTGCAAGAATACTAACATCTATTAAGTGACTGGATTTGCCAGTTTATATGCTAATAGCTTTTCACTTTAATGACTTGCTCATAGTAAGTAAAAATATAAGTGAATATTCAATGTCAAGATAGTCACTTGTATACCTAATCACACATTAAAGATTTATCTCCTGTCCAAACTGAATGAGAACCAAATCAAATTTCCCCATAAGGCCAAAACTGAACCTAACCAATGAATTTGGTTTGGTTCTTGGGCAGTTCAATTTGCAACCAGAATTGTGGAAAGAATGAAGCTTGTGAACCAAGACAGATAGATAATAGGTGCTCCAAACTTCTTTTTAGCCATGGAAGAAATAATGTGTATTGGAAGCCTTTGCTTTTATATCCCTTTTTCCTCTCATTTTTTTCTCTGTACCATGTTCATGTAATAATAATGTAGTATTTGTTTTAGCCTACCAAATAGTTTGGTGAATATACTTACAAAAATAAAATGTCCAACTTGTAATGACACATGTATTATATTTTATATATTAATATAATAGTAAGTTCTTGAAATACTTAAAATGTCCAGTAATTGGGCAATAGTTAAAAAATATGACACATCCGTGTTATGAGCTACGCAAATGTCTAAAAGAATAAACAAGTCTACAGTAACTGCTAAATTAAAATTACAGTATTTTTTTTCCACTTAAAAAATAGAACAGGAGGGCAATAATGGTGGGGTGGTGAGTTATAACAACTCAATCTCTCCAATTTGGTCGGTATCCAGACTCTGGAAAATGACTTGAAACACACACACACACACACACACACACTAACAACTTGAAGAAACAAGGAGATAAGTCGTTTTCTGTTAGCCAAGAAGAATCTGACAAAAAAGAAAAAAGAAAAACACAGAGAAGAATGAGAACACATGGAGAAAAGAAGGGACCATGTGAACTTGCTCTGTAGACTATGTGGATGCAAAGGGCTTGCTATGGCTGGTGCAACAAAATGAAAGTTAAGGCTCTCCCCATGGAGATCAGCTGTGATCTGCAAGGAGAACACAGCTCTGCCCTCAGTGTGTCCTTCAGGCAACAGCTAGTGAGTGACCCCAATATCAGCACGCACCATTCCCAGGGAGAGAGTGCTTGCTGGGAGGCTGTTCTGGGGAAGGGTTGAAAGTTTGAGCCACAGACCAAGAGCAGCCACTTGGCACTACCCCAAGGCTCCCAAACTAACTGAGTGAAGGGTGACCACAGTCACAGTTGTCAGAGAGCAGGCTGGAGACACCTGTGGGGCTGGGGCTAAGAACACACACCCCGCTCCTCTGGCCAGAGGCCAGGCTTGACCTGCGTTGCACAGGATCCGAGTGTGGCACTGGTAAATGTGGCCCACTGTTTCACTGAGGTCTTTGTGCAGCTCAGATCCGGGGCCTGGCTGCCTCTTTTACTCATGGGTGTAACTAGGGACACATCTTGACTTGGACCCTGCCCCAGAGTTGTAGATTCTGGAGGAAAGCCATACATTCAAAGTAAGAGATAGATTTCTATTTTTTTTATTTCACCTTTTTCTCTCTTCTTTCCTTTTTGCTTTTTGCTTTTATGAATGCGTGTGTTCCCCTCTTTCTTGTTCCTTTTTCTTCTCTAGTTTACAGAGGGTAGAGTAATTCTCTCTTGTCCTTTTTCCGCACATATTTTTATTTTCATCTGTTTTTATTGTTTTATTTTTTTTCTGGATTTGTCCTTTATTATTCTTTTCTTTCCCCTTTGTTCATTTAATTTGTCTCCCTTTAACTTTTTGTCTCTTATTTTTATTTTTTTTTAAATCAGTACCAGGGATCGAACTCACGACCGCCTGCTTGCAACGCAGGTGCTTATGCTGCTGAGCTATATCCCCAGCCCCATTGTCTCTTATTTTAATTCACTGTATACTTTCTTCTCTTCTCCATATTGCTTCATCTATTTCTTATCAGGTTTTTCTATTGCCTCTACCTAATTGAACAAACATTCCACTACCCATTAGGATACTTTTCCTTTCTTCTTTCTCCTCCATTTCATATCTACAGTTTAAGGTCTCAATTTTTTTCTTACAGTCCCCTCACCCCAATTCCTTGTATCTTTAATAGTATAGCCATCGCACTATTGATCTTTTTATAGTTGACTTACATTGAATGCTTTTTTATCATTAGAGGAGATACAGCGGTCACATTTAGTACATTTTAGCTGTGGGTCCATACCTGGTTTGTTTTGCTGTTTTTTCTATAATTGTGAATTTGCTTCTCTAGGTACATAGGCAGTTCTCATGACCCACTAATAACCAACTTGCCTTGAATGATAGTACCAATTTCCTTGAATATTATATGACGCACACAGTCTTTCCTTTGGTTGTGGCTATTGGGGATTCTATAAACCACACTTATTTGTATATTTATTTCTTTCCTTATATTTAGGAAATTTACTGCCATTATTTCTTTGAGTAAGCTATTTATGCAGTTTGTCGTGTCTTCTGATTTTTCAGTTATTACTTTTAGATAGTCTTCTTAGAGTAATTTAACAGCTTCTGGGTCCATTTTTCAATCCAGGGAATATGGAGAGGGGAAATATTACAAACCACGCCCCAAATTAACCAGACTGACAATAGAGGAAGTTAGAAGAGAGATCAAAGTGATACTCAGGGAATGTCAGAAAGTATAAATGGATAGATAATGAAAGTAGTAACCAAAATGATACAAAAGTTTTCAGAAAGCACTAATGAAAAGCTAGATGAACTAAACAAAATGATATAAAATCTAAATAACCAGTTTAGCATAGAATTACAGTCCAAGAAAAGGTTTCAATCAGAAATCAAAAGAATTAAAAATTACTTGGAATGTATGGACAGATGTGATCAATGGGAGAACAGAATTTGAGAACTAGAAGATAACGATGCCTTCAACGCTAACTACTCCATTGTATTAAAAAAAAAAAAAAAACCTTCTTTATCCCTTCATCATTTGATGGGCAATTGGACTGTTTCCAAGATTTAGCTGCTACAAACTGTGTCATTATAAACATTAATGTACATTTCTATGATGCTTTTAATTCTTTTGGAAATACAGTATTATGGTTTGTGTCTAGGTGGCCCCCCAAGCCTCATGCAGTCATGGAGGGGGCTGAATCTAACATTTGTGATTGGTTTATTGTCTAGTGCTGGGATTGATGGTGTGAGTGCTGCACCCACCCTGGAGAGGAGCTGGCATACAATATAAGGAAGGGAAGAAGGCATGTTTCTCCCCGCACTTATGCCCTTTCGCTGTTGCCCTTTGCAGCCACCATGAATGACTTGGCCATGCCACCCTGCCCTGTAGCGAGCTGAGTATGGACTGAAACCTCCATAAACTGTAAGAAATAAACCTTTCCTTCCTTTATGTTGAGCAGGTATTTTATCTCAGCAGCAAGAGACAAGTAACCAAGACAGAATTTGGTAACAAGAGTGGGGTCATTGCTGGCCATT